CTTGGGTACTAGGAGGGGATTAAATTCCTTAAGGAAACACTGTGAATTCGGTGGGCTCGAATTTATTATTGTTTCATTACGTTAACTTATATTTTGCAGAATTAATATTTATAAATACAGCAATATTGGCGGGGAATAACACCTAATACCCCAAGTAAGCTCTTAACATTAAAATTATAATTTGCAATATTTTCTTTTGTCTTGAAATTTGTGTTCACAATGGTAGTTAAAGTGAACAATTAATTTTTTACTTTTCATATAAACTAGTATACTTACCCGCGCGATGCGCGGAAAATATTAAATAGAAGTAATTTCACAAAATTCCTATCTAACCAATATTGTTATTTTCACTACTTTATTGTTGGAGTTTCTTGCGGCCCTAATTCTACTATACTGCATTATAAGCTACTTTACTTTGCATATCGCAAGCAATGAAGTTTACATTTGTATAAAATTATTTTAACCTTTGAATGCAGAAATATTTTTGAGAAGCTCCCTGCATTCTTCATTCTTCATATTGTCAAGGAAATCTTGTAAGAATAGTCATGCTAATTGGACTTCAACTGTGCAATTTCAAGTACAAAAGAAGGACTGTGATTTAGAAAAATGATGGAAAATAAATAATTTTAGCGGATAAATCATTTTGGTAACTATGGCAAACTTGTCAATCAAAAAAATATAGAGGGATGTTACTGATACTTAGTTTATCATATAAAGTTAATTGCTGCATATAAACACCAGTGCATAATATTTATTTACCTCAGATAAACCTGCATAACACTGAGTAGAAAATAAATCCAAAGCATATGACAACATCAAACTCTTACTAATTCTCACAACAATTTAAAAGATCTATTCTTCTCCCTAAGACATAATTTTATATATTAAAACACTCAGCAACAACACTGTATTTCAGAAAGTTTAGTACATCTCCAATTTTTGCAAAGCAGCTATAAAGATATTATTCATTCATTCAAAACTGCATATTTCCATTTCAAAGTGTCCGAATATCATCGGCACTGGTCGACTGAGCCGATGTTGTTGCTAGACAAAAATTGTTAAAGCAAAATCAGTTTTAAACAAAAGAGTCTTGAAAGTAAAAAGTCATATATGATAACTAAATAAAAAAATAGTTATTAAGCCTCACAAAGTTACTTGTAGTATCTCGAAAAGTTATTCACAATACATAATAACTTGATTTGTATATAAGTAAGAAAGACGTAGATTTAAGACTTAAGTTTGTCAACAATATCATCACCTTACTTTTCTTATCAAGCCACTTAAGAATATAAGAATATATATGAAGACTAATATTTGTTGTTGTCTCTACACAAACGCTTTTCCAGAATTATTTTTCAACAACAACAACAAAATCAGCCTAAAAAAAAAAAAGGATAACCAAAGAGAGCTGACGATAGAAGAAATTATGGAAAGGAAGAATGTAAGTGAAAAATTGATCTTGCATGTCTAAAATAGCAAGTCAAAAATGGAAGAACCTAATAATAATGAATATTAATCTGGTTGCGAAACGTAAAAAGCTAATGTAGTTCCATCACGAGGTGCATCTTTCTCAAATACAACTTTGTGCATCTGAATGTCCTTGAAACCGTGAAAATATCTAGTAAAAAAAAAATGCCCCACGTACATATATAGTAACATCTTATTAGTCTAATAATTTTTTAAATTAAACTACTTGGAACATTACAATGCTAATTTTTCTTATACTTGTTTGAACTTGCAACTTACATTGAACATTAGAGCGACCTCAAAGGCTCCACAAATTCACTATACATTCATATTCACACACAACTAATACGGAAAACACATAAACACAAACCTTTTCTTCATAAGGAGACACACAAAAATTACAAATTTGATCTGTACATATACAATTCAACCTAAACCATTGAATAGTTCTTCCATTTGGCCATCTTGGTGAAATTAGATGAGTTTTAAACTTCTCCAAAGAAGAGAAGAGATAAACTAATCTATGCGGCAGTTTTTGCTGTGTTAACTTGTTATCCTTTTAGTGCGCTTGATTTTGTAATTTCGATCTTATCTTTTAATTTAATATAATGAAGTAATATAGAATTAAGCTACAGGTTTGGAAAAACGTGGGGGTACATTTTTGGAATTGGAGTAATTATATTTTTTTTTTAGTTTTGAGTTTTAAAAAATATCTGTCCAAAAAATGTGGGACTTCACAAAACTCCAATAACTGGATTGGTTAATTATTTTTAAAAATAAGTTTTTTTCTATTTTAATTTTTTTTGAATCTCCAAATTCATTGGAGTTTTGTCCTAAAACATGACACATGTTGATATCTCGTTGTGATACTTGACATAATATCATGACTTTGCTTCTCCTTTTATATATTAATAGATAATAGATTTCACATACAAGTTCTAAAGTACAACAGTCTTAGGACCCGTTTCGCCATAATTTGTTTTCACCTTTTTAAAAAAAATTTACTATTTTTTTCGGAACTAATGTTTGGCAATGAAAATTACAAATTTCACTTGATGTTGAATTTCGTTTTTTCGGAATTTAAAAAACTCTAATTTTTTTAAAATTTTCCCTTCAAATCATTCACACAAATTCAAAACATCTCCAAATTATATTCATGTCTAAACACAACTCTATTTTCAAATATTAGTTTTACTTTTTTCGAATTTTCACAAGTCTTATGTCCAAAAGCCCACTTAGGACCTGTTTGGAAAGTCACCATGTAATTGGATTTGGGTGTAATTGGATGTAATTACACAAATTTGGCGTGTTTGTCACGTGGTCATCCTGTAATTTGGTGTAATTGAGGGGGTATAATTATAATCTACAATTCTCGAGGGGTATTTGAGAATTGCTGCTAATTACATTGTGTAATTACTAGGTTATTTTTTGAATTTCTTTTCTTTTCTTTTTAATTTACTTTTTATTTCTATTCTTTTTTTCTTTTTAATTTATTTTTTTAACCTTTTAAATTCTTTCTTTTCAAATATTTTTTTTTACACTATTTATTTTTTATTTCCTTATTTCTCATTTCCCAACATTTACTTCACGTGTTTCTACGTAATTTTTCATATTTTATTTCTTTCTTAATTATTTTTTTTATTTTTTATTACACAGTTGTGCTATTATTCTAAGTTTTCTAAAAAGTTATACCCCATAATCATAGAAAAAATAAGTCATCCACAAATTTGACTTATAACGAACGATGTCATTAAAGGTGAATTTTGTTATTGGATGAGGTTATATGCAAACTTAACTATGTTAAAATGATATACTTTTTAATATTTAAATAATAATTTTATTTTCAACCTTTATTTTTTGTGATTCCATGTAGTTGCTCCTTTTTTTTTTTTCCATTTAGCATAATTATGTTATTATTCTAGTTTTGAAACTCTTCCTCCTAATATTAGAAATAATGAATAAGTAATAAACTTAGCATATAACGAGTGATGTCATTAAAGTAGAATGTCATTGTTGAAGGTTATAGACTTATGTTTTCCTTTTCTTTTGAATTATATTTACTTAAATTATATTGAAACTTAATTTATTGTATATTGTAATTTTACATAATAGCATTATGTTAATTTTTTCTTTGATTTGAATTTATGTTATATTTTCGCTTCCATTTTATTTGCTTTAAGTAGTATTTTCTTATTAATTCAGATTGCATGCCATTTATTTTTCAGTTAAAATTGATAGATTATTTTTTTGTAAAATATTTGAGTAATGTTATGGAATTATATTTATAAATATTAATTATTTTATCAACCATGTCGTCCATGATGTTCTTACAAAATATGTACTTTTTGTTTTATAATTGATTAAAGTAAAATAATATTAATTTGAAAAACATATATCAATTATTTTTATAATATTAGTTACAAATATATGATTAGTAATTAATATATTTTCAAGAAATAATATCTATCTTAAATATTAAATTTAATATTATTTATAAAGGTATATATTTTTTAAGTCTTAATTTTTTTATTTTTGATAATTAATTTTATATTTAAAATTTAATCTAACTGTGTAATATGTGTAATTAGGTGGCTTTCCAAACAACTCTTAAGTATTTTGATCAATTTCAACATTTTTCCAACTTCAATTCAATAACTAAAAAATCACCACCTAAAAAAAGAAAGTCCAAACTATGCTCGTAGGCTTCAGGTGTACTTACTACTATATAAACAAAAAGGTTAGGGAAGGGAACAAAGCAAACGCTCAGAAGGGAAAGAATGAGGCTACGGAGAGTTAAGGATTTTCATTGAAAGGGTGGTTGTCTGCTCTCTGCAATTAGCCAATGATTTCAGTAAGAACCCAAACAACAGCCCTTTTTATCAATTTTAACGGAGTCGTTTGGTAAGGTGTATAAGAATAGCCATTTCTCTCTTTTTTTCTTTTTCTTTTTTTAAATGCTTTCGCCGGAGCATTCAATGTTGCCGGTGGAGCTGGTGGAAACGGTGGCGGTGAGTATAATCGGCGGCTAAAAAGAGGCGATGATGATTTTTGTCATTCCCTTCTGAGCTTATTAATCAATCGGGGCAATTTGAGATAACCCGACCCGTATCTTGGCGGGGCATGTTCCCAGTGGGTTTTTGCAGCCATGGCGTCGTTGGACTCTCTTTTTTGCCTGAGGTTAAACACAAATCTGAGCCTCAATTTCTTGTTACTCTCTCTGTTTCATTTTATGTGCAATGAGGCTATGAATTTTTTTTAATTTTGTTTTCTGTGGAAGATGAATCAGACATGTTTTTTTAATGAGCTGTAAAAAAACTGTATCTTGGCATGGCAGCTCAGATGGGTCTGTGAGATATTGGAAAAAATTCCATCTTTATGGTTTTTCTTCTATATCTCACAAGGCTAACTGATGCTTGCAGCTAGGGGTGTGCATAATTTGGTATATATCGAATTAAGATTTTGGTATTCGAGATTTGGTATTTCAGTAGTTGTTAAAATCTTAAAAAAAGAAAGGCCAGTGTTAGTCTCGAATTAAGATATTAACTCTTTCTCTTCGAGAGCATTTAATCGAAGAGGCCTCACAAGTCTGAGTTTCCCTAGCAAAGATAGGTTAGCCTAGTAAGAAAAGAGAAATGCGGCAAAAAACAGAGAGTTTGGGATTTTCTTCTGAAGGGTGATTGCGCCTCTCGGTTTCGCATTTGATTTTCCTCTATTATCAAAATAATGAACAACCCTTGTTTATGAAAACAACTGAAAAAGCAAAAAGGATTTAAGTTATATATACTGACATCTCTGTATTTACTCTGTATTTGTGTATGTGTGTGTTCTTATGGTGTTGATCGAAGGTACATAAAGAGGCAGTGATGCTGATATTTCTATATCTGGGCTAACGAGTCCAGGCATGGAGATAACACGGCCTGTATCCTGAATCCGCCTCTGGATGCATATGCATTTATCCGTCTTTTTCTCTGTTACAAGGTTGTTTTTAGGGAAAATGACATTGTATAACCGCTCTCAAAATACTAGTGAGATGAACCGACCCGTATTTGGCGTGGCAACCCGGTATGGCCTGTGATGGAGACTTTTGTCTCTCACATGCAGCCGGTATTTTGCAGCCATGGCGAGGTTGGGGAGAGTGCAATAGCTGATTTGAGGACATCTATTTAATGCATAGCCGAAATACATAAGTTTTGCTCTGTGTTTCGCCATTGATTTTCCTCCATTATTAAACAACAGACAGCCCTCTGTGTTTAAAGCTCTTAGGAGAATCTGAGCCAACCCGGTTACCTTGATTGTTCTAGAAAATCGAGGCTTTTGTGACTCTGAGAATGCAGGAGATCCTAAGAGTGCTTGCTCTGTTTCTCTGTGAGTTCATAGTCTGATGAATTCTTTGGGTTACAGACAAGTTATGCTGGTGGTAATGAGTTTAATTGATGGCTTGAACATGGCGGTGATGATTCTGTAAACCTTCGTTCCCTTCTGAACTTATAAATAGGCCATTTGAGACTATCCAACCCGTATCTTGGTGTGGTTTCTGCAGCCATGGCGTTGTTTGACTCTCTTTTCGCCTGACTTAGACACATATCTAAGCCTCAATTTTTGTACGATTTAAGAAATGGTGAAAATCTCATTAGTTTATGTGTGAGGAAGCGGCGAAAGCAGGGAGCTGTTGGGGAGTTTCAGTGGGTGGTTTTGCCCCTCTCTGTCATTCTCCGCCCCGATGATCACTCCGGTGAATATTTTCCAATTACAAAACCATCCTTTTGGTGAAAATACATAATACAACAACATCATATCCAGACCTTACCCCTACCTTGTGAAGATAGAGAGACTATTTCCAATAGACTAAGTGTTTTCTACTCCTGAATGCCCTCCTAAGGGTGAGTCATGCCATAGCTGGAGGATCTCCTTCCTGAGAGCCACATTGGCTCCAATTACCAATTTACCATGTCTTCTGAGTTGCTAATGTACATAAGTGTACCCCTTGACCTCACTTCCTGTTTGTAACTGATTGGTCAGCTCCTTAAGGGCAGGATCTTCTGCCCAACTTCTCCCAATATCCTGCAGCAAATCAGTTCTAACAGTAGATAGGGTCATAGCAGATAACTCGGCAACATGAAGTCTAGATAAAGCAGCAGCTGCTTTATTGTCTTTCCCCTTCTTATACTCTATTTCAAAGTCAAATTGCATTAGTTTAGTCACCCATTTCAACTGGGAACCAGTATACAATTTTTGTTCCAGCAAGAATTTTAATGCCTTTTGGTCTGTTCGAACTATGAAGTGCCTGCATACCAAGTACTGACTCCATTTTGTGACTGCAAGAACTAATGCCAATAGTTCCCTGTCATAAACAGACAAAGATTGGTGCCTCACTGAAAGGCCCTTGTTCAAATAGGCAATTGGTTTCCCATTTTGCATCAGGACAGCCTCAATCCCCACATCACACGCATCGTACACGCATCGGTCTCTACAATAAAAGGAATAGAGAAGTCTGGCATAGCCAGCAAGGGTGCTGTGGTCAAAGCTTTCTTCTGTTCTTCAAAAGCTAGAGTTGCCTTGTCACTCCAGTTGAAGTTGTCTTTCCTGAGTAGGTCAGTCAATGCCTTGCTTATAATGCCATATCCTCTGATGAATCGCCTGTAATAGCCAACCAACCCCAAACAACCTCTCAATTGCTTGACATTACTAGGAATTGGCCAGTCTGCCACAACTTGTATCTTCTTTGGGTCTGTAAATACCCCTTATGCAGAGATGTAGTGGCCCAAATATTCTACTCTTGCTGCAGCAAAAACACATTTAGTTTTTCGTGCATATAGCTTATGTTGCCCGAGTATTGCAAAGGTTATTCTGAGATGCCAGACATGTTCCTCCTAACACCTACTATATATCAAGATGTCATAAAAAAACACCAAAATAAACTTTCTGAGTTGATCCTTAAATATGTGATTCATTAGGCTCTGAAATCTCGAAGGTGCATTAGTCAACCCAAATGGCATGACTAAGTACTCAAAATGGTCAGAATATGTCCTAAAAGCAGCTTTATGAACATCAGCAGGGGCCATTCAGATTTGATGGTATCCAGACCTCAGGTCGATCTTAGAATATACTTGAGAACCACCCAATTCATCTAGTAATTCTTCGATAATGGGTATGGGATTCTTTCCCACCAAAACCACAGGAGATGCAAAAGGGCTGCAACTCTGTTGAATCAAACCCTGGGCCAACAGTTCATTCACCATCTTTTCTATCACATCCTTCTGAATTGGGGAATACCTATATGGTCTGTTGTTCACAGCCTTGGCCCCTTCCTGAAGTGGTATGTGATGGTCAAACAGCTCCCTGGGAGGTCCTGAGGTTCTCCAAAAAGATCCACATGTTCTTCTAAGACAGATTGAATCTCCTCAGGTTCATGAATCTGAGTGGTTGCCCCTTTCAATTCTGTGCAACTATCTTCCATTGGAACTGCTTTGATCATGAACAACTGGGCATTTACCCCCATTGATGTGCTGCAAAGAGTCTGAATCCACTATATTCAACTGAGGAGTTGTTCCTTGTAATGAAATTAGCCTTCCCTGATACTCAAATTTCATGGTCAATTTCTTAAAATTGAACATGATATCTCCTAGCTCACCTAACCATTGAATGCCTAAAACCATATCACAGTTTCCCAAAGTCAACAAGAGGAAGTCAGCCTTAAACACATTGCCTTGCAGCAACCATTCTAAACCTCTGCAGATCTTATGCACCTGCACTGTATTGCCATCTGCCAAGCTTACATTTGTGGGTGGACATTGATCTATTTGCCATCCCATACTCTCCACCAACTCAGAGTCTAGGAAATTATGAGTGGAGCCACTATCAATCAAGATATTAAGCTGTCTCTGGTGGCAATACCCTGTGACTCATGGTTTTGGATTTCTTTGCACCATTAAGAGCATGGAGGGATATCTCGCAAGCATCTGCCAACTCCTCTGTCTCAGGCTTTTCTTCAATTATTAATCCTTCTATTCCTTCTTCCTCCAACTCCACCCAGAACAAATGTGCCTTGACTTTGCACACATGACCTGGCTGGAACTTTTATCACACATATAGCATAAGCCCTTAGCCTTTTTTTCACTCAATTATGCAGGGGTTAGCCTTCTCCTTCTACCCTTATCCTCTGCAGGTTTAGGTAAGTGCATAGCTGGATTGGTAAGGTTCTTAACATTTGTATAGGACGGGGTAAATGAGTTGGCTCTGGAAGAAGTACTAGGATAAACAGTTGAACTCCTCATAGCTTTAGACTGTTTGAGGAATATAGATTCCTGTAATCTTGCCAAATAATAAGCCTGAGGAAGTGAAAAGGGTCTGTGGATTCGAACTGCATCTCCTAACTCTGGCTTCAGCCCATTCAAAAAGATGCTTATAGCATGGTTGGGATCCAAGTTAAGTCGAGTCATGGCTCTGTCAAACACCTCCTGGAACTCAACCACACCTCCAGTTTGCCACAATTTAACTAGTTCAGTCATGGGATCATCATATTCTGCCCCAAATCGATCAGCCAACGCGAAAAGGTACTCATCCCATGTGGGAAATGGGAGATGGGCCCTGCTCCTCATGTATGCTTGGTGCCACTGAAGAGCAATGTCGTCCAAATGTATAGCAGCAACAATGACTTTTTGGCTAGAAGGGACCTCATCTAATGAGAAGAATTGTTCACATCTATACCACCATTCCTGAAAGTCCTTCCCATTGAACCTGGGAAACTCTTTCTTTGATAACCTGGTGAGTGTTTGGTGATTTGAGAATAATGGAAGGGTGTTGTACTGGTTTGGGTTATGGTAATGTAGGGTTGGATTTGAGTAATTTTGGGTTGGGTTATATGGGAAAGAAGAGTAGTTATAGTGAGCTGAGTTTGGTGAGTATGAAGCATATGGATTCTGAAAAGGATACGTATATGGAGGTAATTGATGGTTAAAGTAAGGGCTATGCATCGGAGCTGATACATGGTTACCAACTATCTGAGAATTAGGAATTTGAGCAAAACTGGGTTTGGGGTATAAGGGTTTGGTAAGCGAGGGGATTGAAGTGGTAATGTAACAAAATTAGCTGGGAGTTGGGAACTGGGAGATTGAAAACTTGGAATTGGTAATGAAACTGGGGTTAAATTCGATTTCGAAATTGGGATAGTCTGGTGA